TATTAAATTGGGTAAGAATTTCTTTTTTTAATATTAAATTGGGTAAGGATTTGGTCTTTTTTATATTAAATTGGATAAGGATTTGGTCTTTTTTTATATTAAATTGGGTAAGGATTTGGTCTTTTTTATATTAAATTGGATAAGGATTTGGTCTTTTTTTATATTAAATTGGGTAAGGATTTGGTCTTTTTTTTTATATTAAATTGGGTAAGGATTTGGTCTTTCTTCTTCCTGGTAAGAGGATTTTTGTTTCCTCTTAACTCCTGTTTCTTAAAATTGGCTTACGCTTAATTTTATCTGATTTTGGCCTTATTTCTGTTTGTTCAGGTAACTGAGAATTTGGGACGATTTGTTTTTTTAAGAAGTGTGAATCATGTCTAACCCTGAAAGATAAGTTCTCTATATCTTGAACAACAGAATTTTGCTCATTCAATATTTAAAATTAAGTGTTTAAAGAATTATTAAATTTGATATTAATATAAGTAATTGAGCATTATAATTTGTAATATAAATTTGAAATATAATAATATTCAATGTGTTGAAGTCTTATTTTAATATTTATAAACGTTGTTTTATTTGAGTGTATTCCAGAAGAACCACACACTTAAATTATTTCAATAATTTTAGGACGATGGGTAAAGAATTACCTCTTGTATTAGGTCTCGTTATATTATAGAAAGCTTCTATTCTAATTTTATGAATAAATGAAAATAGATCGATTTGTATTTAAGCAAGTCTGTAGGTTATTCTATAATTCGTGCTAATTATAATTTTGCAAATTTAATGAAACTGAATTATATTCAATTTTATTCATGAAAGGTTATTGAGTAAAATTCAATAAAGTCAGTATTATTTTGAAGTTCTAGGTTTGTAAGCAAATTTAAAATCTAATTATTATATGATTTCGTAAATATAAGCTATTTTGTAGCTGAAATACGACGAATTTAACAGTTTAGTATATGTAACCCTGCAATTAATCTATATGCAAAACCGGAGTCAGTGCATTAATTCTCAACATTTATTCATGCATTATGTACTCGACTTATTTGTAATATATATAGCTTTGATGAATTTAATCCTATATATCCATAAAATCTGTAAACATAGAAGTAAAAAAACTTGTTCTCCTGTTGTACCTTTGGCAAAACTAAAAGGAATATCTCCGCAGTATTATCAATTGTTATCAGACTCATAGCCCTTCCTCTGATGCGATAAAGTTGGTCTCTTTAAGACACCTTAACTGTTTTATTGAAAGTATTGTTGGTAAGCGGTTGAGTGTGAACGATTTAAGATGTGACGTGGGCAACATACAATTGAATGGCGCGTGCCTCAACGGTGGGTAGTTTAGCACACAGGGGCTGCATCAAAGTGATGTTCTACTACTATTTTCTGGATCTTCTAGAGCCGTCAGGCGTTACGCACGACTTCCTCGGGGACATCAAGGTGGAGTTTTATTCAGAACAAAAAGGCTTTCTGAAAACAGTGAACGTATATGTGTGGGTCTTGTAATCTCGTTCTGTTTCGTGTTAATCCAGATAGAACATTATTCTCCACAAGTATTCATAATTTATTTTAATTAATTTCACAATGACAGGTGTAACTAGGCCTAACTGCAAGTCAGAATAAATTATTATCATTAAAGAGTAATTACTATTTATCAACGCCTTAAAGATGTGGTAAATAAAAATGTATTTAATATAGTATTTCTATCATGATTGTTATCAGAAGGTTTTGATATCGACTTAACATTCCGCACATGTTCAGCATACCAAGAATATATGTTTGTTCAGTTTTTGCATGTTGAGACGTAGAACACTCTTTACCTCCCTTATACTAAGAACATTTTTCACACACACACACACACACACACACACTTACGTCCTACCAAGTTCTCTTTAATAGAAAACACAAAAGTTTAATATTAAGTAAAAACGAGTTTTCTGGTAAAGATGCTATACTAATATTTCCAGTCTAGAAATACGGTATTTTTTATCAACCTAAATCAGCTGTCTTAATTCTTTCACTACCATACACACATCCTTGTAGTGCGAATTTGGAGTTTTATACAACCGTGAAGAAAGGTTAAGTTTATCAATTTTAGATAAGTAATGAAGTGTTAAGAAACATGTCTATCACTTGTGTATCGGAAAGAAACCTAGCACTGGAGAGTTATCTATGAACGTGACAGTGGAAGAATTAAGCTATACAAGTTTAGCCTAAAATTGAACCTTAATTTAAAGTGGCAATAAAAGTTTTCCCATAAAAACGTTTTTCAATGCAATTCTTTCTTGCTCCACTTGCTATTATACTCTCTGTACCCGACGATAACGTCTTTATCAACATAACAAGTATTCTAGTTATAGAGATTTCTGGAGAGTCTTAGTCCTTGATTTTTCAACCTACTAATTGGGTTTAGTTTAAAGATTGCGTTAAATAATCTATATAGTTTATCCATATTTACTTCTCTTATTCGACGAAACTATTTTAATAAATGTAACCGTTATTGTTTAGGGCTACTCATGTTTTTTCTTAATGTTTTACAATTCTGTGTGAGTATTCAGGATAAATAACGTTAGGGCTTCTAATATTTTACTGTTTGCTGTTTTACTTAACCAGAAGCAAACAATCGTAATCTTTGAGTACAGTGACGCATAACAATATCTTCGTTTTGATTTTTGTTTATTCAGTTGTTGCAACATTTAACGATAGGTACACCAACAGGTGTTGTGTAAAATGGCATCAGTGGTAGAGCCTCGTATTGAAACAATAAAGTTGTAGCACCAGTAACGTGTTTATGGCAAATTATAGGTCTTCTCTAGCTAAATTAAAACGCGGGGAATTGTTTTTCAAATGGTTATAATGTAAAACAAAATTTCGGTTTCATATATTCTAGAAATATATTTATAATTTTTTCCCCGAATTAATTTAATGTCTTCTTCGAAACATAAATATTTGTTTGAGTTCCCGGATTGAACAATGTATTAAGATACATCTGGTAGAGTTTACGCACAACCTCCGACACGCAGTGTTCATGTACTTTGTAATAAGACGAACATTTATTATCACGTCTGTAGAATTCGTATACTAGTCACTTCCATACAATACGTGACACGAAAATCTCCAAATTCTCAGGGTTTAATACTTGTTATAAAGAAAAGCTTTACACAACCGAGTTTCTGTTCACGGTTTCTAGATAAGTGGCAGTTGTTATTATTATTTCAATATAAAATGTGTGTTAACTATAAACTGAATGGCAAATATCAATTTCCCAAGGGAAAAAAATGTTTCATTACGCTACTTCGTAACGTATTGTATTCCACTGGATGGTTCATCTCAATGTGCCTATTTATAGTCGGCAAATATAAAACACACATAAAAACACATATAGTTTTATCTCATTTAATTGTTTTGTATATCACATAAGAGGAAAAAAGCTCTCAATTAGTGCTCACATTAAAGATTTGTACATAGATAACGTTAAAGTTAATACATATATGACTAACAAAATATACCCTGTTGAAATGAAAAATTAACAAAAAATACACCCAAAGATAACGTTAAGAACTGGATTTTTGTTTTATTTTTATTTTGAGATTGGCAGAGTAAGAACGATTCCATGCTTGAGAAATATTTACGTACAAAACACCCTAGCCAGATTACGGCTTTATCTTTGTTAATCGTATAGTGACGTATTGAAAACAATAAAATAAACATTCTACGCCTCTGTTGTGTACAGTATTGGAATATTCTGAGTTTTATAGGTCATAAGTTATTTAATATGAAATGGTAATTTAAAAATAAAGATGAATAAAAATAAGAAAATACCTCTTTTCATTTGTAACTATTTAATGTTTATGAATATTTATACGTCAAAAGGCCTCAATGCTGAATCTTGGTTGAAATGTATCGACGGAAAGAGTTATCGCTCAGTGCGTGAAAATTGCTTAATGCTCTTTATACTGATGTTATTTTTCTTTAAACGCCATTGATACTGTTGTGCGAGTTTTGAAAACAAAGAAAGCAGTTAGGTTTGATTTCATAATTTTATCCTAGTCTTGCTTTAAGTTTACTTTTCATTTATTTAAAACAATGACAATGAAATGACTCAGAATGGTAAATAGCTATTAATTACCTCATAAGGTAAACTACTGAAGTAGTAAATGATACTGTGCGAAAAGTTTCGGGTTTCATTATTCTTCTGTATTGATAACACTTCTTTTAACGAAAAAATATTAATAATAATGCGCCAGTATCTGTCTCTTCGGCATACAGTATAAAACAGTTCTAATACTTCGACATGCAATATAATCAGTTGTGATACTTAGAACAAGTAATTACTCGAAGCAGTATATACACATAGAGTTCTCTAATAATTCAGTTCATTTAATATATTGATTATAATTAAAAGCAACGCACACACCTTCTTAAAAACGCAGTAAATACCCTGTTTTGTTCCACAACGTACAAACATATACAAACAGTTATTAATTACAGCAATAAGAACAACCGACTTCTATATAGAATCTATACAATAGCCAGTTTTTAACTAAACCTAACGCTTTTATATCAAAAGTATTATTCACTCAATATATAATCATAACATAGATACTATCGTTAATTCGGTTTTGTCCAACGAAACTTCTCCCCCGACTTCATCAAAAGTCAAGAAAGAAACTACACACATTTACAAATGGGCACGAGAGCTGCTACATATGACACTTTTTGCAAAATAACATTAATTACTAGCACATATATTCGCTACTACAACAGTGAGCTTAGAAGACGAAAAAAATGCGCCTTGAAAGGATGCTATCTAAATCATAACAATAAAATATTAAGTAAACAGAAAATACATACAACTAACAACGACACACATAACACACAATTACATATCTTAATTAAGTAAAAAGGTTTAGAAAGAACCTTATATTAATTCCTTCTACAACTACACATTCAAAGCCTCTACAAAAGATTGGTATGAACAACGGAGGAAATAAGATATATTTCTTGTTTTAGTTAAAAATTAAAAACTGTAAATTGAAATGGTTAGTAACTAATCAATGAAGCCCGATTTGTGCACATTGGGAGGTCGTTTTCTTTGGATCAAACTTGCTCTTAACAAGATGATTTTGACTATTTGAAACGGCATTTTTTTTCTGTGCCCCGTAAGCGAAACGCTAAAAATTTTTTAACATTAAACATATTTCATAAAAAGTTGATATACATGGGAAAATATTTCCTTACGACACATTTTTTTTTATAACATTTTCTTTTCTCCTGTTGATTTGCGATATAAATATCATGTAATAATACACTTTCTAAACGTACTCCAAAGGCTAGAAAAACGATAGATAAATAAATAAACGCCAGTCTTTAACATAAGGCGCCGTAGAATAAGCACTGCAGAAACTCACGTGACATACAAGCCTTCCTGCGCCAAAGCCTACGTTCATAAATTCACACTCTCGTAGTGAAAAGGGCATTTCGTGGTCATAAAACATTTTTACTACCCAGTTATCTTACCATATGAATTGTGGATAGTGTTATTCTGCGATGTACTTACTCGGATTTATGTAGACTCATTCTGGGATTAATGGTTTTTCTAGACACAAAACTTTTAACCTCCATGAATCTATAATACCTACAACGATTGTCACTAGAGGGAGCCTGTGTATCAAAGATTCACTAGGAAACAACTAAACTCGAGGAAGCATAAAATGAAATAGTACAATTTCACATTAAAACACTTACTACATTACTGGATATACTATCTATAATTTAGTGCATTCAAAATTACAAAAAATTATAAACACATTGGCAGTTTTAGGAACATCGCAATTTACGAAATCTTGGGTAAAGGATCAACAACTTTAGGCGAGTTTGCCCACAAAAAACTGTGTTAACTTGGTGCACGGTCTAGTAGTGGATTAGATCTAAAGCTTATTTTGTAAATTACTAATTCTTATTTGCCTTACATTTCATCTTCAAGTAACGTGCACAATTCTGTGAACTTTTTAGAAGTTGATTGACCTCATGGCTTGTTGTTGTTAATCGGCGCATGGCCAGAGATGTTTTTTTTAACCTTTTTAACGTTGTTATGACGGAATGGCAGTAAGAGACCTGCAGCAATATTAAACAAACTTCCACCTTTTTCACAGTACATTAAATTTTCTTAGCATGTAACAACTGCTCGCGATGTTGATATTATCTACTGTTTTCTACGATTTATTTCTCAGACCCTTTAATGTTGTTGCAGTGTACATTTACCTTCAATACAAGTGTAGAGATATGTCAACATAGCTGATCACAGTATTTACAGAAAAAAAAAACACATCTGGTACTTATAAACAATTATTCTATTCTATCTTCTTGAGCCAGCTATGGAGGGTTAGCAAAACATAAATGATTTCAAGAAAAAATCAACTCTTCAACTTGTTAAATAGGCAAAACTTGTTAACTCACCTGTCAAAAGGATGAATGTTATTACAAGAAAATATGATATGCACTGGTTCACCGTTATCTAACTCGGGGAATCTAGTGTTTTCCAGAAAAATACAGTCGACCCATATGGATGTTCCTGTTAGACTGCCACCTTTAATCGTTTTCTTCACTCGTTATTGTGGATCATCATACGTGGGTCAAGGGTAACTGTTTATTTGGTGGAGCTACTTGTCCCACGTGGTTTGCCGTGTTGATTTGTTTGAAAGTTCTGCCTTGTTGGCTGCTCTGAGGTTTTTTCCCACACAGCCGTCCATAGAACCTCCGCCAGGAATCCACAGTTTTCCCGGACCAGATCCAGAATCCAGAAGTGATTCCAACTACGAGACACATAAAGTACTTGAGCATGAATACAGAGTAATCGGGACGTACATCCGGGTTACTACAGGGGCAATTGTGCCTCCTTTCCCAGGCTTCCCGGAAGTGTTGTTCGTAGATGTAACAGCCGATGACGATGGTGGCTGGCACCGTGTACAGCACCGAGAAGACTCCAATCCTGATCATGAGTTTTTCCAGCTTGTCTACTTTAGCTCTAGCTTGTTGTCGGATGACATTCCTGATCCGAAAAAGAGCCACGAATCCAGCCAAGAGAAAGGATGTTCCCAAAAGAAGGTAGACACAGAGAGGAGTCAGTACAAATCCTCGCAGGAGAGTCAAGTCCTGATTTCCAACGAAACAAATACCAGCCACGGGGTCCCCATCCACTCCGTCCACGGCTAAGATGGCGATTGTTTTGACGGTTGGTACTGACCAAGCTAACAAGTGGAAATATAGCGAGTATCCAGCAATAGCTTCATTCCCCCATTTCAGTCCAGCTGCCAGAAGCCAAGTCAAGGCTAAGATGACCCACCAGAGAGAGCTAGCCATTCCAAAGAAGTAAATCAACAGGAAGACGATGGTGCACGCTGCCGGTCTTTCAGAGTCCTGATACCGAACGATTGGTCCATCACAAGCCAGCTCAGCATGTCCCATGCCTAGCCGGACCAAATAGCCTATGGAAACCATCAAGTAACAGCCGGAGAGGAAGATGATAGGACGTTCTGGATAACGAAATCTCTGCATGTCGATCAGAAACGTAATGACGGTCAAACTAGTGGAAATGCAGCACAGCACTGCCCAGAGTCCGAGCCACATAGTGGCAAAAGTATGTTCGTCTGTGGAGAAGAAGGTGCCGTGACATGGGACAGCACAGTTTAGTACATTACCTGTCTCTACTTTATTGTAATAATTTCGTTCACTGCTTTCTAAAAGTGTCACCATAGGAGATCGACACAAACATCCACAGTCAGCATTACCAGTGGCTGGTAGAGGTGGGAAATTAGGACTAGGCTTGGGTTGAATAGGCGCCTTGGAGATACTTTTAGGCCAATCATTATTTTTAGGAATATCAGGTTTCTTGCCTACTTCCGATCTAATGTCAGAAGATTTTGGTTTAGCCCCTTCTTTTTCGTCCATGCACAGATTATTAGGGTCTCCATAGTTAGGTAACTCTTCACAGTTCATCCTCTCAGGCCACGCAAACCCGTATTGTCTCATAATGGGTGCACAGCCTGCTCGTGACCTTTCACAGACTGACCGACAAGCAGGAAGCGAGCTGTGGTAATCCACCATACAGATTGGCGTATACATAGAACAAAGAAAGAAACGAAGATCATCAGAGCACTGAATTTCAACTAAAGGCCAGAACTGATGCACCTCCATTCCCGCTTCTTCTTGGGTGTCATGATAGAACTGATTAGGCATGGACGTGTAGTTATAGCCAATGTTTTTACACATAGGAATAGTGATTTCTTCACATTTCAGCTTATCAGCAGCACATGCAACCCTAGCCGCTAGTAACACAAGTATGCCAATCTTCAAAAGACTGATGGCTCGTCTGAAGGTCATTGTGTAGACTTTGGAAGAACTTGTTGCGTAGAATCGAAGGGTAGTATCAGGTATACATGTTTTCTTAAAGAGAATCATATTTTTGTGATATTTCTAAAACTTTGTATTGTTACACATAGCTAAGTTTTTCTTCTTCTATAAACATACTTTCTCTTCATAAAACACCACTGCAAGTTCTTTTATGTCACTCAAGTGTTGATAGCAATGAAGACTTTTCTTTTAAATAAATATAAAGTCTTGATTGTCACAGATTAAATCCAACCTCTTGTACGTGGCGAGTAAATAAACGTAATCCCAGAGCTTGTCTCCAAGACAACCCGCTTGTCTCCACCATCTGCACACAGATCACGACTCCTGTCAGCTCTCTTCTCGTCTGGGTTCTGTTCATGCATGAAGATTAAGTCGACGTCATCGCTTAGCAACCAATCACAAAGAGCTTCAGGCCGCGAGTTTTCCATTCACTGACGGAAGGGCAGACTTCACTAAATAATCGGGACCATCTCAGTCTAGGAAGAAATAGAATAAAATAAATGATATATGTAGATCACCCAAAACGAAAAATTTTCGTTGAAAAGAAAAGAAATCAGTAGTACATTTTCTCACTAGACCACTTAATATGCACACACAAACAGCTGAATCAATATATATTATATCGTATTTTTACGCTCGTCTTTGTGTTTTACTTTTATGTTACGTTACTATGACGAAAGATACATATAATAAAATATTAGTTAAACCAAAGAAAAGAAACATTCACCCTTGTAGAAATACAAACGTTGATCTTGTAAACACACTAAGAATGGGGTTAAGTTTTCTTTGATTACATATAGTTTGAGAAAAGAAAGTTTTGAAAAGTTTCAGTCTTTCGAAGTGATTCTTCGTTTGTCTACTTATTTATTTTTAGAATTAAGTTCGCAGAGCCATTGTTTATTCCCTAAAACCTGCATATGTAAAACACTAAAAATATACAGGAACTAGAAATACTATATTTTATCGATTATACAATAGCTATTAACACAGATAGCAATAACGAACTTGTCAACATGAAAATCATTTATATAATACCTGATTCAGGTGACGAAAAAAGATGCCTACCTGAAAAATTCTTGATGTTACAGCTAAATATATTTAACTTCAAAATGTCACACAAATTAGGTGTTTCAATAACTCACTGTATTAATATTTTAATTGAACACATTATGAAAATATTAAAGTTTATGCAAAACTGGCCAAACCAAATAAAATAATAGTTTTTGTTTTGTAAGTCTATAAAAACCCTGACATTTTATAAAACGTGGACCAACAGCGAATTTGAGGTTGCCACGTTAAGCCTCGTTAGGCTATTTTCATGTTCACTATAAGCCTATAATTTTTTTCCTTAAATATCGCTTACATTTATGTTATAAGATATAAGAACACTAATCTCAAGCACTGATAAACATATAGAATTCTATTAGATAAAAAAAAGGGGAAAAAAATGTGCATGTCGTTCAAAAGATTTCTAATTTACCAGCCCGAACTGACATAGAAAAACTCCCAGACACAGCTGTGCCGGGCTACCAATCAGTGTAACGTTCTACCAAAGCCTGATTTCGAGTAAATAGACTTGTCAGGCGTCAAGCCTACATCACTCGGAGAGCTCTTTTGTGAAACTGTCCACTTGGGGACTGGGGGAGGGGGCGTTTATTGAATCTATACAAAGAAAAAGGTGTGAGGCTGGGGTGACTGTACTTCGCGAGACGAGAACGACCCCCACAGTGTTAACACAATATAGCAGATGAACCATAACGAGGCGTGCGGCCTGCCCCAGGGCTGATGTACCCCTAAATAAGAAAGGTTGGACATGCTTGAGGCTTCATGGAAACTCAAGGTTTTGTTCATATATTAGTTGTGAACTCCACCTTCACAATAACAGCACTATAGAGTACCTTGCGAGATACAATCAGCAGATTCTTGAGACAAGTAATGAACCATAAAATTACAAATAACCTTAGTTATTTTCATTATTTACTTTTCTCAATTATCTGAAGAAGTCGCGATTTTTCGAGAAAAAAAATCTTCACTCGTATGCAAATATTTCAGTTTACGAATGAATATGTTGATCAATAAGTTACATTCTCCAACACTATTATTTTTATAGGTGATTAAAATAAAATAAAATGTATTACGTGGTAACTGTTACTTTTTTGAATGTGATCTTTTCCGTTGAAATTTCAAAAGTGCCTAAAACTTAACTCCCAGAAACATAATCCGAGTAGATGATTAACAGCTGTCGATGAGTTAAGGATAACTAAAAACATGGCTAAATTCTGACTGGTGTGATAACATTTTGTGATTTACGATACCCTAAGAGCAAATTGAAAAATGCAACAAAAATAATATTTCTAAAATCTCTACATAACCCGATAGATCACCACTGTAGAAGTTCAACTATTTGTGAAAGAGCCTACACCCTGATAAAAGCGGATAATAACTATGGTGTAACAGTTACAAGTTGTGTGATCATAAATGTTAATAAAAAGTTTGTAACCTAAAAGAGAAACTGAAAATTCATTTTTCACTTTCATTTAAAAAAGGATGTTACTTTGATACAAACCACAAAGAAAACTATATACTCCAGGCACAACTGGTCAGGAAATAGGTGTATAAAGTTCAACGAACTGCCTTTAATGATCAACTAGCCACGACCTGCAAAAACATATGCGGTAGTTTTCATACCCTTGGCTTGAATCTTCCTTATTCTATCAAAAAATAAAAAAATACGTGGTCAGACAAACAAACTCACGTAGACGTAACTTTATTTAATAAAACTACATGTAAATTAAACAATAAAGTAATGGTACTTATAACAGAGTACAGAGTATGAAACAATTATGAACGTTTAGTGTATGACACGGTTTTACGAGTTGAAACAAAGAAACTCACAAAAAACGAAGAATAAAACCTGTAGTAAAGAAAAAATAGCTAAAAGGTGTTTATAGCAGTCTATGAAATGAACTGAAGCTAAATTATTGAAAAGTAAAGTATAAAGTTGTAGTGAATGCAAACTTAGCTGAACATGCAGAAACGTCTGAATGCGTGTTTACAAAGTGATAAGCATATAATTTTGAACGAACTGCGCATGTGTATTTGGGATCTAACTAAGCCGTGAAAGGCTATAACAATTGTATTTAGTGTAATGTTTATTTTATTTTAGGAAATTACACGCGGGTTAAATGTTGTTTGTGTGAAATACTTTACAAATAAAAAATTAAAGTTGTAATCGAAGCCAGTACGTACAAGATGACAACGACATCGTACCATCGTGTACCACACTTGTTACATTAAAAAGATTGACTAAGCAAAAAAAAAAAAAAAAAAAAAAAAAAAGAGGCGATTCTGAATGGAAAATCCAATATAGAAACTGGACTCCTCGAACAAAGGCCTTTCTAACGATATGAGATTTGTAGCGTTTGATCAAGAAATTTACGAGAGAAATTCTGGACAGACAAACGCAAGCGTATTATTTATAGAGATGGGTTTCCTTATTCGTGATTTCACATTTTCCTTTTCCTTTATCAGACCAACGTCGTAAGTGATAGCATCATATCTTTTTATAAAATTATGCTTTTTACATTATAATAAATTTCAGTCTTTTTCAGCTATCAGTTTAATACTACGATTTAAAAAATTATAATTGCACTCAAAGCTGCGTTGCTTAGCAACCAATGTTGTATATAAAGGTCACAACAATACTGTAGTTGGGTGTAAAATCAATCCTGTTATTGTACTATACTTAAGCGTAAATTGTTCATTGCTACTTGATTATATATCTCATACAAAGAATGGACTACACGTAGTCCTGACAAAAATAAACTGAGCTACCGAAAGTTAAAAAAAAAATCCCAACTTACTCCTAAAACAAATCATATTTACACGTTACCTTAGGGGGTCGACAAAGAAAACAACTAGTATGTCTACTTTATAATCTTCTACTGATTCCACAAAGTCCCTTTCAGGTGAAACTTTGGTAAGTTCGTGATTTTAAAAAAAAGCACCACATGCTGTGAAGGGTTTCTCTCAAGGGCAATGCTGTTGGCATGTTCTCCCAGTAGTCGAGTGATCGAGACAAGAATAACTGATATAAAACCAGAACAGGATAATCTAGACAAATCCAATTCTTCGGCCACTCTGCTATCACGTTCTCTAGGTCAGGCGCGAGGAGAACGTGAACAGCTCACAAACGAAGCTTTAACTGCTACGAAAGAAGAGAACAAAAATCAAACACTAAGTTGTACCAACACGCCTTCACCGATAATGTAAGACTAACTAATGACAAAAGTAGGTAAATATATAAGTGAATTTTGCAGGTGAGTAAAATAGTGTTATAGGTTTACTGAAAAATCAAGTTACGTTATTGTTTACTGGGGCCAGAAGCTACAATATAGAAAAACGATTCTATATAGTACAGTTTTAAACAGCATATCAACGGCAAATGTTGAAATGTCTTCTGTATTTATCATTCCACTGAAACGATGCGTAGAGATACGATGCACACGATCGAAATGCAACCATTTCTCACGCTAAACAGGTGAGGTGATGTAAATATGATAGCAAAATAAACAGCTCACCATAAGTGAAATTAACTGACGAAGATTTTAGTATAAAATTCCAGGAGTTAAACTTACGTGTTCATAACGCACGACTTGAAAATTACAGCACCAGTTGTCCTATTTAATCCAACAGTTAATACAATATTCATCTGGACAACAAAGTGAAACCAAATCGTAAGGAGCTTAGTTATATTTGGTTTGTTTTAAATTTCGCGCAAAGCTACACGAAGGCTATCTGCCCTAGCCGTCCCTAAATTTAGCAGTGTAAGACTAGAGGGAAGGCAGCTAGTCAGCACCACCCACTGCCAACTCTTGGTCTACTTTTTTTTTTTTTTTATTTTTCAACGAAGAGTGGGATTGACCGTCGCTTTATAACGCTCCCTGAACTGAAAGGGCGAGCATGTTTGGTGGGACTGGGATTCGAACCCGCGACCCTCCGATTACGAGTCATGAGCCCTAACCACCTGGCCATGCCGGGCCGCTTAGTAATGTATCTATGTCAGATTTTCTAGTGGACAACCATGAAATGGTTAACCTACGTATTCCGGTGAGATAAGAAAGACGTTGAATATCGTGTCATTAAAGGTTGGTTGAATTTACCTCTACAACTGGGCCTGGTGGTTACAGCATTCGACTCGCAGGTCGCCGAGCGTGTTCGTCCCTTTTAGCTGTGGGGACGTTATAACGTGACGGTCAATCACATTACTCGTTAGTAAAAGAGCAGCCCAAGTCTAGTCTATCACTGTTAAATTAGGGATGGCTAGCGCAGATAGCCCTTCAGTAGCTTTGCGCGAAATTCAAACCAAATCAAACAATCCTTTATAACTATACGTGATGCAACATCGAAACAGTCCGTTGGGTCTGTTGGATGTGAATAGTCCACTGGGTGTCTGACCACCAACGGTCTGTTGGATGTGAATAGTCCACTGGATGTCTGACCACCAACGGTCTGTTGGATATGAATAGTCCACTGGGTGTCTGACCACTAACGGTCTGTTGGATATGAATAGTCCACCTGTATTTTTAGCCGCAGCATAGCGGCTCATGGAACAGCTCCGAGTAAAAACTTGTTACAGAGTTAGGTTTAAGAGTGCTTGCTCCTTTATTCTTTCCTACCCTCTCGTTCCTCTCTCTCTGTAAAGCTTGTAAACTGTGATCCTCATGGAAGGCAGTTTCTAAGACCACGTAGAACTTACAGTGAAAAGAAGAAAGTTGTGATTGAAGTGAGGACACAATTTGAGAGTGTGACAGAGACATCTTATTAACCAAGAGCTTTTGTCGGAGAAGGCGAGAATTATTTCACGTTCTCTATCTGTATTCAGAACCAGGATACTTGAAGGTGACTAGAAGAAACCTTTGTTGCTGACGCTCGACCTCCATCACATAACCACTGCATGCAAGAGCACTGTATGATAAAAATGGTTCATGGTGACGATGGTCACTAATTGGTTCAGGATGACGATGGTCACTGATAAAATAAGAGCAATCGGAGAGATCACATGACCTCGCCCCGCTACTCCTTTTCGAGATTGCATGCGTTTATATTGGATAAGGTAAAATGTTACCTTCAAAAACTGGGAAAATCCTTCTCAAATCCAGAACGATCAACGATCATTTTTTTTTGTAGTGCAATGATGAGTCTCAACCTTAATGTGCCCATGAAATTTGGTACAAATCCGATCACACTTTACAGAGTTATTAACCTAAAACTACGAAAATGCACTACCCCCCCCATTATAAAAAAAAACGCTTCAATTTTCATGTACGTCGGTCTATTACCTTTCGAGATACGCTCGCAGAAACACAGACAGACAGACAGACACATACATGAACCCGACTGCAATACCCTCCGGCGGGGGGAGGGAGAGTCAAAAACACCAGTTATATGTGGTAAAGAGCTAAGACATCAGTTCTTCCATTGCACATGCACATTGGAAAGAAAAACATCAACGTGTTGTGTTTTTAATGACAGGATATCTAAATACAAATATATTTAAAAATATATAGGAAATGTATGTTATTTTAACTTTCACGATCATGTATAAGTTGACCTGTGACGATTTTAGAGAATTTGAAATACAAAGCAAAGTACTTATTATCGCTATTAGATATCGAAGTTCTGGGAATAATTCAATCGATTGAGAAAACCCATATGTTTGCCAACTCACAAAGTGCACTATATGACGTCACTACTCCACGCTTTTATTTCGTCCTGGTCGGCCATATTTGTAAAGACATAATTTGCTTTGTTAAATATTTAATAGATATTCGTATTACTGCAAGTGTTGTCGCTTAGAAAACTGTAAAGCAAAGCAAGGAATGTTGAAAATAAATATAAAAACATACATTACTGTTATACTACGTGTATGTATGTAATTGCGTTCTTTCTACCGTAGCTAACGCTGTAGTCTTCTTCCTGAGATGCTCCATGAAAGAATGTTTAGTTGACCTACGACTGATAATGTTTTTAAATACGTGTCTGAATGTTAAGTTCAGCACTTGCAGCATGTACGAATACAACAAATGATGTTATCGCCTCCAGCCTTTCTTTTTCTCAAAACACTTTTCTCAAATTACATAGTCCAATCTCAAAAATGTTCATATTTACTAAACATCTTTCGTTTGAGAGTAACTTAAGTAGTTTACTGCAAACATTCAAAGCAAAAACACAAACATTTGGGATAACAAGATGACCCGTAGAAATCTTAACAGTTTGTTTGTTTTGCAAAGCTACTAAAGCTATGTGCCGCTGTCCCTAATTTTGAATTGCCGATCAGAGGAAAGGCAACCGGCCGGCAGCACCCAACGCCTACTCTTTTACTAACGAATAGTGGGATTCACCGTCACTTTATAACACCTCAACGGCTAACAGAGAAAGCATTTTCGGCAGTGGGTTTCGACCCCGCGTCCCGCAAGTTGCGAGTTGAGGGCCATAACCACCAGGCCATTTTAAGAGTCATTGGAAAAAAACAAAAACATGTCTGTAAACAAATGAAGCTAAACACGGGTTAAAATCAATACTGATTTTCATAACGCAAGTCTTTGTTTAGTATTTTGTTCTAATTATTGTAATAATCACGAAATGTTAAGTTACGTTTTAAATTTTATTCGGAAACATTTCAGAAAACAGGCGAACATAATGAGCATGAAATTATCAGAAAATGCATATATATATATAAACTAACTTAGTTTATAAGAAGCACGTGCATTTTGAAACATTTAAGAGTACAAATTCACATAGAATATACAGGATACCGAAAGCGTACAAAAAGTTTATATACGGTACGTAAATATAACTTCACAGCTTACTTGTTTAAAATGATATTTGAATACGAACATAGCGCCAGTATGGTTGATAAATTTGTGGAACTGCATGTTTCAGACATTCTTATAGTGGTACTAAGTACCCGTATTCACTAAAATCGAGAAGCTTTCAAACTTCTTAGTAAACATCTGAAGAATGTGAAGTCCTGAAACTAGATAATTTAAACTTAGATTTTAATAACTTGTAAACATGCCCAGTATGTTACAAACAAGACGCCCATCACTGACATAATTCTCGTATACGTAAGAACATAAAGACGTCAGAAAAAAAAAATGCATTTCCTAAAAGATTTACCTGTATTATATACAGTGGTGGGAAAAATTATTACATCACCCAATTTTTTTTAGACTTTTTCGGTTCCTGTAATTTTTTTAATTTTTTATTTATGAGATTGTACATTGTGAAAATGTCAGAACTAGTGTAAAACTGTTATGGATATCGTGCGGTGTAAGCTGACACATGTTGCAGTCATTCAAACACATAAATGCAGCTTTATTAACAAACAATCGTGAAAAAAGTATTACAGCAGATGATTAACATATACGAAAATGTTCTTTGAGTTATAAAACCTAGATTTAAAAGATAACACCGCGAATGTAATTGACAAAAAGTATCTGGTTGTACCCCCTCTGGTTTTGATAATTGCCGGGGCATAGAGTGCACGAGAGACTGAATGTTGGCAGGGTATAAATAAGTTCATGATGCCACACGCGGGTTAGGGTGTCCTGCAATGTCAAGGTGTTTCTCGGTTTCCTCTCTTGCACTTTGTTATCCATTGCCTTCCAGCAGTTTTCGATAGGCTGTTGCCTGACCAACGTAGTATCTTGATCCTGTCCTCTCGAAGGTAGTCCTTCGTCTCAAGCAGTGAAATATAATCTAATGTCTTTTTCAATACATATATAGTGTAATTTCTTCTTTATTCCGCGTCTCCCGCATAGAATGCGTGAATATTTACAACCTTTTTAGCCCTGTGGTAAGGAGCAGAATGATTCTGAAATGTGTACCGGTCAGCAACATCAAAGATATCTCGAATAGATGGCTTTAACCGAAGATCTTGATGTCAGCATTGACCTTGCCTTTCACAAAGTGTAGGCGTCCCACACCCTGACCAGCGATGTATCCTTATATTCCCTGACCCTGCGGATTCTTCACAGTTACATTCAAACACGCTGGTTGTCCACATCGATGTCGTAGCAATTGCTTCCCATCAGACCCGCGCAGGCTGAACTTTGATTCATCTGAGAAGACCACTTTGCTCCACATTTTTTTTTTTCAGTCCAGTTAGCATGCTCTTCGGACCAGTTGAGCTTCATCTTCCTC